AGCCCGAGGGGTATAACATGGAAATGCCCCCCGCCGCCCGAGTCGCCCTGGGCGGGCCGCGGTGCCCCCGCGGAGGGAACGCTGACGCCCGCGAGCGAGGGGGGGGGGGGGGCGGTTGGCCCGCGAGCCGCTCGGAGAGCGCGGCTCGCAGACCCTGGCAAAGCAGCGCCCCCGCCTCCTCGATGGCAGCCCTGGCGAACGCCTGCGCGCGGCGCCCGCCGCGGGGAGGGGCTCCAGGGGCTCCAGGGGCTCCAGGGGTTCCAGGGGAGGGGGGCTCGAGAAGGCTCCAGGGGCTCCAGGGGCTCCAGGGGAAACCGCGCGAGGGTTCAGGTCGAGAATCTGCAGGGGTCCATGCGCGCGCGAGAGGGGATACTAATGGAGAGCATACATGCAGACATGAGCGAGAGTATCACCTTTGCATTTGCGAGTCTATAGGCGAGCTGTTCCATATCTGGTTTGTATTAATGTGTCGCGCACAGACCTGAGGTGAAACATCACTCCCGACACTTAGATAAGGGTCGCCATGGTTTTGGACACCCGAAATGGGTACCGAAAGAATGGGCAACATGCCCAACAACAAATGTTGTCCCGAACCAACAGCGGCCGCTGTTGGGCAGGCGGCCTTCTGTCTCAAATGGACACAGGCCGCGGCGGCGCGGACAGCGAGTCCTGTTCAAAATGAACAGGAACTGCTGTTGGGCATCGTGCCCATTCTTCCGGTACCCATGTCGGGCGCCCAGAATGGTAGCGGAGCCGCGAGCCCGCGGCGAGTGCGAGTCCACGGCGGACGGAGGACACTCCAGCCGAACCGCGGAGGGCAGCCGGGGAGCTGGCGGCCCAGGTCCGGAGGCCGACCGAACGGGGCAGGCGCCGGCCTCCGTAGGAGCTGCTGCAGAATGGCGGCCGGAGAGCATCGTGGACGCGAAGATCTTGGAGGGGCCCCAGGACACACAAATAAATACACACAAATAATAAGATTCCCAATATTTTTCCCATATTTTTGGGGTTTTTGACTTCCACTTCCCATATTTTTGCATATTTTCCTGGGAGTCGACGATTAATTGTGTCTGTGTGTTTTTTCCCTCCTGAGATCTGGAATATAATCGGGGTCTTCTCTGGTGCTGGCGGGGATTGGCGGCGGCGGTGTTTCGTGCTCGAACCCGCGGAAGGGCCTCGTGGACCCGAGGCAGATCGCGATGCGCTGCGAGGTCGCGGCGGAGGCCGAGCTGGCCTGAGCGGCGCAGCCAGAGGCAGTCCAGCTCAGGATGAGGGTGCCGCATCATCTCCTGATCGCCGCGACGACGTGTCGGGCGCTCACAATCCTGCAGATGGTGCCACAAAATAACAGAGCCATCGGCTGGAAGAGGCTGACGGAAGAATACGAGCAGAAATCAGGCGGCAGAGTGACGGCGATGCCGATGGGAGTTCTGAAGCCAGAGTGGGAGGTGCCGATCAGGGGCGGCATCCGCGCGTGGGAGGAAGCCTGAAAGAAGTGGGAGAAGAGCGTTTCCCTCAATGAGGTTCTGTCTTCTGTCGCTGGAGAGACTCACGGGCGGCGCGAGAATTGCTGTCGCGTTCAGGTTGGCTCCAAAGGACGTGGGGGCCGTGGTCCGCCATGCGCTGGGGGCGATCGGCCAGGATTATTCCCGACTGGCACACAGGTCGTCGCGGACTTCGCAGCGGGTGGCAAAGTCTACGAGACGACGGGCGCGCGTCCCACGGCATCCAGTACTCCAGCGATGGGCCACTACCGATGGACGTCGGGCTGGTCAATGAGGGAGGGCGGCGCCCCCCGAGGGGTTCGGCCAGGACTCGAGGAGGGCAGCAGCAACGAAGTCGAGAATCGAGAACTACCGACGGCTGCAAGAACTGCGGCAAGAGGGGGCGCTGGGCAGGAGACTGCTGGGCCCCTGGCGGCGGAGCCTCGGCTGGCGCTGGACAAGGTGGCGAGGGCAGGGGCGATTGTGGAAAAATCGGCAAGGACGAGAAATCAGGCGACAAGTGCGGCGTGATAGGTCGCGCATCCTAGGGTTGCCGCTCTCGCATCAAGTGCGGCAAGCGCGGCAATGTGCGTCGCGAGGCAGCTGGGTGCAGATCCCAGACGGCAGAGAACGTCACGTCGGCGAGACGTGGGCCATGGTAGTCGCGGTGAGCGTGGACACCGTCCAGGACGACAGCAAGTGCGAGTGGGTCTTGGTCGACAGTGGGTCGGGTGCCGACGAGCGCCCTCTCTGCTTCGGTCGCGCCAGGGATGGCGCCGATGATCCCGCGGAAGTGGGGCTCCAGACAGCCGCGAACGACCGCGTCCAGGACTGCGGCGAGAGGAACGTCGGCATTGCATTCCTGGGCGATGGAGGTCAGGATGTGATGGCCATGAGTCGGCTGCGCGTCGGTGACTTCAGCTTGCCCGCGCTGAGCTGCGGCATCCGAGTCCTAAGGGGGCTGTCTGCCATTTCGAAATGGAAAACAACTGCGTGGTCCCAACGAGCGCGAATAGCAAGCATAAGTGGCCCCCTTGATCATGATTGGGAAAAATTCTGATACAAGATGCCGCGCGTTGGATGCAGGACCTCATTTTCGCAGAGTTGCGCCAGTGGTTGAGCAGGCAACTGGAGCCCCGGAGGCCTCTGGTCTGTATCGGTTGGGGCCCCAGAGGCTCCTGGCCCGGCGGGTCAGCAGGCAGCCGGGGAATCGGGGGCTCGCGGGCCCTGTCAACAATGGCAGCCGCGAGAGGTCGAGCAATCAGCGGGAGACCCAGGCTGAAGGGCTCAGAGAGATCATGGGCGTTCAGTCACCTGTCGAGACCTTGAGGCGCCCGAAGAACTCGGGAGGCCGGGAGCCCCGGGCGCGGCCATCCACGGTGCAGAGAAGCAGCCTCTGGGAGGCGCTCGTCAAGTGCGAGCATATGCTAGACGAGAGGGTGAAGGTCAAGGAGGTCCCGGGGAAACGTCGGCGGCGACTTCAGGAGGGCATCGGCCCTGAGGTGCCGAGGGCGCTGGGGCACCAGAAAGGCCCGACCCCGAGACGACGAGGCAGCGCAAGCTCGCGCATGCGAAATTTGAGCCGTGGTGCCTGGAACGCGCGTTCAGATGAGGAGACGCTGCCGCGCGCTGGGGGGTTCCAGTCTCGCGCCGACCTGGAGCCAGGTGCCAGTGGCCCAGATAGACTCATCATTTGCAAGACGAGGGAGAGCTATGGAGGGCGCCGCCAACTGAATCTCGACGACGCTGGGAGTGGTGGATGGCGACGCGGGCGCCCCTCTCCAGATGAGCTTGCCTGACAAGGGAGTCAACCGGGGCCGCGTAGCGCCCTCGTTCGCGAGCTTGTCGCGGGGGCTCGGGGCCACGCAGATAGGGCTCAGGAGCGTCGGCGAGCCGAGCGTCGCCAGCGCCGCGAACGCCGTGGCGGCCAAGAATCCCAGGTGCTCGCCCCCAGTCCCTTGGGGCAGGGGAGGTGCAGCAGAAGATCCTGCGGGGCCGGGCGAGGGCGATCGCGGCTGCGACGGAGAAGGCGCCGGGCATCAAGATGAGGCCAGGTCGCATCTTGTGGCCGTGGCTCGCGAGGCGCGCGGGCGGGTTTTCTCGCTGAGATGTTCTGCGCGAAGTCGACGGGGCGGGCCCCGCGCGGAGGCGCGACGGGCGCGAAGTGCAACGGAGTGGTCCCGAGGTTCGCGGGGGCCGCCATGTTCGAGCGCCAGATGCCACCCAGTGGCCACGTGGCGGGGGGCAGGCGCAACCGCGAGTCAAAGTCCACGTGGGAGAAAGGCATCTTCCTCGGTTGGACCCACGAGAGCAATGAATTCCTCGCGGGCGCGAGCAGCAGGGCGCACTTGGTCAAGGCTGTGCGCGGGCTCCCAGAGACGGGCCAGAACGACCTCGAGCTGGTGGCCAGGATGGTCGGAGTCCCACGGGGCCGCGGCACGGCCCAGATCGGGGGGGCGGAAGGGCAGGGGGGCGGTCATCATCCCGACGGACCCGCCCGACAGAGAGAAGGGCGACGCGGGGGCGGAGGAGGCCGCCGACGACGCGGGGGCCCCCGACGCCACGGTCGAGAATGGAGCTGCCGACGACGGGCGCAGCCACGCCAGCGCGAGGAGCAGGTCGGGCAGCAGCGGGCGCGCGGAGGGCGCGGGGGCCGCGCCGCCATCGGGAGCTGCGCCCTCGTCTCAGCCTGCGCCGCCTGCCGGGGCCACCGAGGTGTGAGAAGTCGAGATGGAGGGGGCGTCGGAGGCATCGAGGGTTTCGCGCAGGATGAAGTGGGCCTCGCGCCCGCGATGGGCCCAGACATGGACGCCGACTGGCGCGAGGGCGAGCGCGGCGCCGACCATGCCGAGGCGGGCGAGCGAAAGGATATCAGCGTGACGCAGGAGTTCAGAGTGCCCGAGGCAGCGCCGCCCGACGAGATCGACCAGGCGCGGACGAGGGAGGGTATCGACCACGTGGGTGATCCAGACGAGGGGCGGCGAGATGGAGTTTGAGCAGCGCCCTGATCAGCCGCGCGTCTATCGGGGGCCGCGGGGCCCAGTGGCCCCGGAGCTGCCATGTACTTGACGGGGGACCGGAAATACGCCGACAAGATCATCGAGCTGCTGAACGGCGGCAGAGCCAAGAGCGCGGCCGCGCCCATCGTGACATCGCGACGAAGCTGCTCATCGAGGACGAGGAATTTCAGCTGGGCGACGCGGAACCAACATGTAAGGAGATGCGTAGGCATCGCCATGCATGCGGTCATTTACATCACTGAGGCTGCGTTCGCCGTTCGCGCGCTGAGCAAGAGGCTCGCGGCGCCGACGGTCAACGACATTAAGAGGCTCAAGCACCTCGGCAAGTACCTCGTGGGAATTCGAAACTGCGCGCTGTTCTTCCAAAGGGCTGGAGGTTGAGATCCCGGAATGATGCGCCGACTCGGACTGGGCGGGGGGCTCCATTGTCCGAAAGGGTGTGCCATGCGATGTCTTGTGCTGCGGCGGCTGTGCCATCCTGGAATATTCGCGCGGCCAGAACACGCAGGCGCTGAGCTCGGAAGAAGCTGAATACTGCGGCTGGGCCACAGTCGCGGCAGAAGCGATCCACGTGCAAGTCGTGATGAAATTCCTGGACATGGAAGTCAAGAGCAGGATCCGCCTCGACTCGTCAGCAGCGAAGGCGGTCTGCCCGCTCATCGGGATCGGAAAATTCGCCAACTGGAGGTCCGCACGCTGTGGCGACAGGCAAAGGTGCGAGACGAGAGGCTGGCGGTCATCAAGCAAGCCTGGTGAGATTAATGTTGCGGACATCGGAACCGGTGCTGACGAGCCAGAGGTTCAACTGGCTTAGGCAGCAGATGGGACGGCGCCCGCTGGCAGGAGCGGGCGACATCGAGGAGCGCAAGGCTGAAAGAGTCAACCTCATGAGCGATTCGACCTGCAAGATGGCGAAGGTCGGGGCGGCTCTTGTGGCTTTGCTGGACAGCCTGGGCGCGGCGAAACGCGAAGATGCGTACGACGCCTGCGGCGGACTGGGCGACCACAGCGAGATTGTGATGAAGGACGCGAGACTGGGAACAGGAGTGCGCATCAAAGGTATGATGCTCAGCATGGTCCTGGTCATGACGGTGGTCGTGGTCTGCGCAGTGGGTTGCTGCGTGGGCCACATCATGAAGCCAAGCACCAAGAACGAGAAGGCGATGGTGGCGAGCGGGGCCTGCATTCCAAGGGGGGCGACCGGGGCCAAGAAGGTGAATATCGAGACGAGGGCGGTCTCGAAGCGACCTGCTCCTGGCACAGGGAGTCCACGGATTGCTCCGCTGGGCGAGAGGGCTCATGGAGCATGGGCGGACCGAGTGAGCTGAGCAGCTGGAGCAATATCCCTCAGGTGGGCCATTGGATCACCTGGGAAGGGATTGGACGGCACTGCTGGTGGCGTGCTCGGCGGCCTGTGCCGCGGAGAGGAGGGTGCGAGGCTGAGTTTCCCCGAAAGAGTGAAGAGTTTCTCACTGCGCGGTTTGAACGGCTGCTTTGTGGAGCCTCCGACGTCGCCCTCAGGGGCCTGTGTTGGAATTCGGCATCGCTGCATGTGCAAGCATATGTCGTCTGCTCCAAAGCCTTCTGTACCAAAGAATTGCACCCACACCTGAGATGAAACATCACTCCCGTATCGTGTATACGTATCGCCGACGGACATGCGTACAAACTTGCATACGTACATACGTACCTGCACACATACATACATCAATGCATCCATCCATCCATCCACCCACCCATACATACATACATTCGCATATGCATCAACCCATTCTCCCACACATGCATGTATAAATGCAAACATACGTACATACGTACATACGCACATACATACATACACACGTACATCCATCAATCCATCCATCCGTCCATCATCCATCCATCCATCCATCCACCCATCCATACGTACACGCATACGCATACGCATACGCATGCATCCCCATGTATGGTATGCATGCGTATGTCTATGTGTGTTGGTATGTATGTATGTAGGTATGTATGCATGCATGCGTGTATGTACGCAATTCGTCATGTTTGTATGGCTGCACGCATGCATGTTTGCGTGTAGATATGCATGCATGCATGCATACAAACATGTATGCATGCGTGCATGCTATGTGCATGTATGTATGCATACATGTATGTATGTGCGCATGCTTGCATGCATGCATGTGTGTATAGTTGTATACATGTATGCCTGTAGGTCTATATATATATATATATATATATATATTTGTATATGTGTATGCGTTCCTGCATGCATGCATGCTTGCATGCATGTGTGTAACCATGCATGCATGTATGCATGCATGTATGGTAGTATTTGTGTATGGATGTGAGTATGCGTGCATGTATGTTTGTACATCTGTATGTATGCATGCACGTGTGTATGTTTACACATATATATATATATATATATATATATATATATATACATATGTGGTCATATATATATATATGTATACTATAACCATCGCGCGCTTCACGCGCGCTCAAGCTCTAGCTAGGCTTGATGGGCTAACTCATGGGATCTAATGGTGGTCGTTTCTTGCATCCAGGGACTCAATTAGAGGCCCTGCGCAAGCCTCGGAATCACTGCGGAAACGCAGAAATCATTAACTCCCGTTCGGAATTAAACGATTTGGGGCCCTCAAAAACTTCCCGGGTTCTTTCTTGGAGCTGAGGGGGGCAGGAGTAGGCAGGGGGGGCGAACTTGAAAAAAAAGGAACTGTGGAATTCCATTTTTTTCAAGTTGCCGTGCCTGGGCTGTGGGCTAACAATTTTATGGATGCAGGCCACGGTATGTTGGGATGCCTCTTGTGGTCTTTGTGCAAAAATAGGCATGGGGCGAATTCGGAAAAACAGAAACATCTAAGACTCTTTGTTCGACTCTTGGGATCATGGGATCTCGATTTCTACTGTGGCTTTAGGGGCAGCCAAGAGGACACGAAGATGATCCAAGAGAGTACCAAGACAGCGTTAGAGAATTCAACAACATTCCCGAACAGTATTTGCATGTGACCCCGAAGTCTTGATGGGGCTCGAGGAAGAGGATAGGGAGTAGGAGTCCCAACTTGGAAAAAAAGGAATCTCCGGAATTCCAGTTTCTTGTTCAAGTTCCTGGGTCTTTGAAATCTCTTTGAGGCTGTCTGCGAGCCTGGAGAGCCGACCGAAAACTATCCTGGGTTGCTTGGGGGCGTCTTGGGCCTTTCTTTGACGTTCTGGGGGCTTCTTGGGGTCGTCTTTTGCTGTCCTGGGCGTTTTGGGGGCTCCCCAGGAGGTCGGGAACCGCAATACCTCCACCGTTCCGCAGATGTTCCGGGAAAGTGTGGGGCCCCTGCTAGGAGGGGGCGCGCATTTGTTGCATTTGAAAAAAAAGAATCTCTGATTTCTGTTCAAAGAATAGAATAAACAATCCTCGGTCTTGGATCGTTGGGAGCCGGAAAACGTGAGAAGACGAACCAAATCGACAAAAACCACTGAAAATGAACGTTTCTATCCTCTTCGGGCTCTCTCGGGACAGCTCTCGAAACTCTCTTGGGCTGTTTTGGGGGCCTCGTCGGAGCTTTTTTGGGGGCCTCTCAAGGGTCTGGGGTGTGTTGGAGGCCTCTGGGGGGTCCCGGAGTCCTCTCGGAGGTCTCTGGCGGCCTCCTGCTCCCGCTCTTGGGCTCATCTTGTGCCTGTTCTGGGGTGGTCTGGAGCTGTCCGGGGCGCCTCTTCGGCAGTCTTGGGCCCGTCTTGGCCCGTCTTGGGGCCGTCTTGGGGGCCTCTTGGGCGGTCTCGGGGGTCTCTTCGGCCGTCTTGGAGTGTTGGAAACATGAAGTGGTGAGAAGGCCAAGAACTCTGAACAAAAACAACTCTTGATGTCTCTTGGAGTCCTCCTGGGAGCTTGGAGAGCCGCCCGAAAGCTATCCTGGGTTGCTTGGGAGCGTCTTGCGTAATTCTTTTACGTTCTATGGGCTTCTTGTGGTCGTTTTGGGCTGTCTTTGGGCATTGTGGGGCTCCCCGGGAGGCCAGGAAGCGCGGTACCGGGAGCGTACAGAAGATGTGAGCGAGGTGGAGGACGCCCCAGGAGGGGGCCCGGCGTTTTTTTTTGTTTTGTTTAAAACGTACTATATATGCATATTATATATATATATATATATATATATATATATATATATATATGTTTGTGCTATGTGTTGTTTATGCTTTTAGTGTGTATACATAGAACTAGATTGTACATGACTTTTACTTTCTGTCAGTAGTGAGGGAGAGGTGGTCCCAGGATCCCTCCAGAGGCCTCGGGAGGCAGAAGGGACAGACATCGTCCAAGCAACCCAAAACCTTCTGGGAAGAGGATTTGGGGAGGACATGGGTCTCGGCGAAAGTGTGCCTGGTAACCTTGTCCCGGCGACGACGATCCCGCTGGGTCTTGGCTGACCCTCGTGGTCTGATCGAAGGGGGCATTCTTCTCAGAAGGCGCAACCCTCGTGATCTGCATCGGAGGTTCGGCGCCCCTCGCGTCTTGACGCGCGGGGCGCCGAACCTCCGATACAGCCCTGAGCGGCACTGCTGACGAGCAACAGAAAGCCTGGCGCGGCGGTGACGGGCCCTGGGCAACTCCCGTGGGTTGAATTTCGGGGGCCCCCAAATGTACGGTGACCACACCGTGTGGTGAGTCAAGGGGAGTTCACGGTGGCAACGTAGTTTTGGGACACGGGCCGCTTTCCGAGGACGTCTCGGGCGACTGGGTGACCTGAAATCCCACAACCGTGCGGTGACGGACCGTGCGACGAGGCCTCGGGGGACTCCGAGGTCACCGCACGGTCTGCCAACGAACCGTTCGAGGAGGCCCCCCTCCCTGGAGAGCGGACGAGCCGACCGGCCGGGCGGACCTGGCTGACACCCATCGGCTGATCGAAGAGGGCCCTCTTCTGGAGGCCCTTGCGCCGCGCCACGCGCCGGATGCCCGACCTGCCGGGCGGCGCGGCGCGGCCCCTCGGATGCCCGCAGGCCCGCTGGGGACGCTGCCGTCGTCCCCCCCCGCCGCCGTCGCTGCCGTGCCGCCGCCGCCGCCGCCGCCCTCCTCGAGGCTCGAGGATCGACCTCCTCCCCGAACTTTTGGCCGCACGGAGGCCTCCAGAGCCGACCAGCCATAACTGGGGGAGCTGTGGTCCTTACCCCCCTGGGGGAACCCTTCGCATCGACGATCTCTCTCTCGAGAGGGGTGTCGAAATCGATGGGTCCCCCAGGGGGTAAGGACCACAGCTCCCCCAGTTGTGGCTGGCCTGCAGAGGCCCCTGGGCACAGCCAAGTCGTCGACCCGCCGCCGCTGCTGGTGCTGCTGCCCCTGCCTCCTGCGCTCCGGGTGTTCCCCTCCGCTGCCGCCTCGCCCCGCCCCGTGCGGGGGAGGGGCGCCCTCTGCTCCTGCCGCTTGCTCCCCGCGTGTTCCCTCCCCCCCCCCACCCCACCCCCCCTTAAAGGGGCCCCAGGACACACAAATAAATTCACACAACTAAACAGATGTCCTGTATTTTCGTATATTTTCTGGGTGTTTGTCTTCCCCCCACATTTCCCATATTTTCCTGGGGATCGTCGATGAAGTGTGTCTGTGTTTTTTTTTCCCCTCCTGACCCCCCCCCACCACCCCCCTCGGGTCGGACGACCGCGGGGGTAGTAGCCGGTGGGGGGCGGGGGGGGGGGGGGCAAATCGGCTCGCGCCGCTGGCGCATCGAGGAAAGCGCCCGGCGGCGGGAGCGGGCGGAACCAGCTGCACGCAGCAAGTGTCGTACCTTCCTTCCCCCTCTCCTACCCTCCGTTTCGCGCCGCCCCGATCCCTCCCCTCCGTCGCCTCTCCCGCGTCCCCGAAGTCCGCCACCGTGCCGCAGGCACCGGGTGGACCCAACCCATGGTTGTAGGTGGCGCTCCCTGGCGCCTCCACTGGAGGAAGCGAGCACGGCACAAACGTACACTTTCGCAGATCCGCGCGGATTTCCTGGATCGGCGCTGGGCCCCCCCTCCCTAGCGCGCGGAGAGCGCCAGGGGCGGCGCCAGAGGCGCCGCCAAGGGGCGCTCGGCGCCGATCCAAGATATCCGCGCGGAACTCTGACAGTTTATGTTTACTCCATTCGTTTGTCTTCAACCCATGGTTCTCCACATGCCTCTTCTCGAGGGGAATCGGGGGAGGAGGGAGAGAAGGAACATGGATCATGCCGTTACATTTTCTTGCGCCAGGATCTGTTCAAGATCCGTTGCAGCAAAGGTGATGCGAGGGTCAGCGAACGCGGGGCCGTGTCGAGGCAAAGCCTGCATAATCCGCCGGCCCCCTTGTGGGGCCACCAGGCTGCGATCTTGACAGCAATAAACGATGCCGATCCGTTTCACTCTCAAATCCTCAGCGCCAAAACGGCTTCAGTACAGTGCATGGGTGAGAGCAGGAAAGGGATATGTAGGGGAGGCACGGAAGGGCGTCGGGGGCGATATATCTCGACACCCCTCCTCGAGCCTCTTGCCGAGGGCGCACGCGCAGCGGGCAGGCGCTAGCCACGATGCCCAAAGCAAAACGCACACGCTCCGCGGCTCACAAGACGGCGCCTCCGCGACCTCAACCCGCGGCAGGCAGCGTCGGCGTGGACCGCACTCTCGACACTGTCCGTGTGGTGCAGCATGCGCACCCCCTGGCCCAGCACCCGCGCGCAGATCAGGCACCCGCTCCTCGTCACCAGCGGGTGATGCCGATCGCGCAGAGCCTGGCAGTTCGGACTCGAGTGGATCGAGGTCCCGACCATGTCCAGGTGGAACAGCAGCACGCCCCTGCCACGCGGCTCCGACGGCTCCCGACACTGATCGCGGGGAGCGTCGGGTGCTGGAGGCGGATCGGGTTCTGGCTCCGATCTGCCCCTCTCCGAGCTCTCACTGGGCTGACCCTTGGAGCAGCCCTTGCCCGTCCGTCCTGCAGCTGACCTCGGGAGGTATAGGCACATGCACCAGCCACACCAGCACAGCATCGCGCCCACGAGCATGCAGAGGACCGACCAGACCACCATGATCGCCAGGTGTGGGTCAGGTCCGCCGTCGGGCGTGGCTGGCTGGGCCTTCACGCCGTTCACGAGGACCATGAACGTCGCCAGGTACCGTGCTCCTCGGGACGCGCTCAGGGCAGCCACGATGCCATTCCCGAGGGCGTCGATCGGGACCAGACCAAGCATGGTGCGGCACCTCTCGAGCGCACCCTTCCCCAGGAACTTCGTCCCTACGTCGGGGAGGTTCTCCGTGCCCTTCACCTTCACGATCTTGATCTGGCCCGTGCCGACCAGCTGCTGGAGCCATAGCCACTTCACCTCCAGATGTCGTAACCTGCCGAGTCCGCGCCGCGAGGCGATCGCGATGGCGGAGGACGCGTCGCACTCGATCTCCAGCGACGTGTCGAAGCCCATGAACTTGACGAGCTCCCTCACGTACAGCATCTCCGCCGCCAGCTCCACGGCCCCCAGGTACTCGGCCTCAGGGCTCGACTGGGCGAGCACTGACTCCGTGCGGGCGTAGGCACTGACGACCACCCCGCACCACCGCACGATCCCGCATGCTGTCGACTTGCGGGTCTCGTGGCATCCCGCCCAGTCCGAGTCGGTGCTACCTCGGATGCGCTTGTAGTCCTTCGTGGAGCGGTGAACCATGGCCAGGTCAACCGTCCCGCTGAGGTAGCGGAGGAGGTGCTTCAGGCACTTCATGTCGGCCACCCTCGGCTCGCTCAGCCGACGACCGAGCTCCTTCAGCGGGTGCATCACGTCCAGCCTCCGCGGGATCGCGTACTGGATCTTCCCGCAGCACCTCCTGTACAGCGAGTGCTCCTCGCTGCTGAGCGGCTGCTCGGCTCCGGGCGGGGTGAGGCCTGGCCTGACCCCAGCCGTGCCCACAGGCCTGCAGCCCAGCATCCCCGCCGCGTCGAGGATGCTCTCGACGTACCCGGGCTTGCTCTTCTCCACGATCACGTCCCCGAACCTCTGCAGCGACGAGCCGAGGTAGATCACGGGGTTCTCGCCCAGGACGCACCGCCCCTTGATCGCGAGGTGCTTGGCCAGCTCGTCGAAGAACTCGTCGAGCACTCCCCGCGTGGGGCCTGAGGCAAGAGGATCGTCCGTGTGGACCACGACCCTGATGCCCTTCTCGATGTGGTGGTATATAGTGGGCTCCGCCTTGCAGACCTTGAATCCGATCCCGACCACGATGCTCTCCAGGAACTCCTGGAATCGTAGCGCTGCCTCTCTGAGCCCATACAGAGACCTCTTCAGTCTCCACACGTATCCATGCCCCATGCCGTACTCGGGCGGCATCTCCACGTAGATCTCGGTGCCGTCCTTCACGGGCGTGTGCATGAACGCCACGCTGAAGTCCGTTGTCACGATGACGTGCTTGAGCATCAGCGCCGCCGCCATCAGCACGCGCACAGCCTCCGTGCGCGGGGTGCAGGCGAAGAAATCCCCCGCCTGGGCATCCCTGAACTGCTTCACGACGAACCTGCTGCGGACCCCCTCACCCTTTTTGCGGTGGCACCACCTCGTGCCCCACACCTTCATGTCTCGGGGTCGCGCCACGACCTCGCCGACGCCGAGAGACTCCATGAAGTTCGCCTCCCTCTTGATCCCCTCGCGGACGGCGTCGGGGTCGAGGCACTCACCGTCGTCGTCGTCGTAGTACGCCTCGCTCAGCAGCTCGAAGTTGGGGTCGAGCTCGCACGGCGTGCAGAGCTCGGTGTCGTCGGGGTAGCCCATCAAGTTGGCGACGGACACGCTGCCAACCTTCACCGTAGCAATTCTCCTCTCCTTGTGCGCCTCGCCTTCCGCAGGCGCCTCATCGCCGGCCCGCTTGCCAGCCGAGCTCTCAGGCTCCTCGACTGCTGGAGCTTCACCTCAGGTGCAGCTGCGCTCTCTGCCGCGGCCCGCTTGCCACGCGGCTCGTTAGGAGGCAACCCCCTCCTCTCGAGACAGAAGTTCGAATGGCGGTACGATGTGCCCAAGCATCCACTACAGCCTGGGGTAAACTCTCTTGACATCGGGTCTGGAAGCACTCGTGTAACTGGTCGGCCCCTCGGCCTCTTCGTGACGGGCTGTGGTGCGTCCTCTACGTCGTCCATGGCCTCGTCGCCGTCGGCGGCTGCCTCGGCGCCTCCTGGGTCCCCCTCCTGCGGCTCCTCGGACCTCACCTCCCCCTCCTGGGGGCCTGCCTGCCCCTCCTCGGGCGCGGCGTCCGCTGGTCGCGGAAGCCTGGCGGGCTGCGGGAGGTTGAGGTCGGGGGCTGGTCTGTCTGCCACTGGCGTGGATGCATTCGGCGCCTTCGTGTCGCTCGGGATGCCCTTCATGGCCAGGAGCAGCTGCTTGTCGTAGCGCTCGCTCTCCACGAGCCTCCGTACGGACCTCGCCACGACGATGCCATGCCTGGTGCCGCAGATGTGGGAGTCGTCCTCCAACGACCGCCCGAGGTAGATGCCGTAGCCCCACGCGGACTCGAACTTGGCGGCGATAGGCCCAGGTTGCCTCCACATGACCGTCTCGCCGAGTGGTAGGACCTTCTTGGCATAATGCCTCTCGTGCTGACGCTCGTAGGACGTCTTGTAGTCGGAGCGGTGGATGAGGAAGCGGTCGTGGGTCCACGATAAACAGGTCTCCTCCACCTTTCGCCTCGCACCATACCGAGGCCGTAGAGTGGTATACGTTGTCGATGGCATTCATGACTGGGTGCACTTTCTCGTCACGATGCGTCTTGCCGAACATGTAGTCGATCTGGATCACAGGCACACCCTCTACCTCTTTGATCCTCTCATGCCTGTCGTCCAGGCCTCGCCCCCCTACACAGTCCGCGCACCACGCTGCGTATGGACAGTGGAGGGCCTCGTGAGCCTCCCTCTCGGCTCGTGTCGGCTCCCTGGGAGCCGTCATCACCGTAGCCTCGGGCCTGACCTCTTGCTCCATCGGCTG